AAGACTGAGGAAGAATAAGAGAGAAAATGAGAAAGAGAGAGAATGAAAGAGAGAGAATTAAAGAGAGAATAAAAAAGGAACAGAGAGAATTAGCGAAGAGAATTAGAGAAAGAATAAAAAAGAGAGAGAATGAGAAAGACTGAGGAAGAACAAGAGAGAAAATAAGACAGAGAGAGAAAGACTGAGAGAGACTGAGAGAGAGAATAAGAGAGAGGGAGGAACGAGAAAGAGAGGGAGAACGCAGTCGCCGGCATAAATCGCGCGTCGAACGCAACAGAGAGATTTAATTGCATCGTTATCGGGATAATTGGGGCAATAATCGTGGTTTCGTAGCGGGCCGCGTGCATCATTTTCCAATTACACGTTGTATTTCGTTTACCGATCGTTCCCCGCGGATAATGTGCGCGCCTCGTGTTGTTACGATTTCTCGGTTCCGCGACACCGTGTTTTCCCCTCGATCGAAAGATCGAGATCGAGATCGAGATCGGGCCGCGTTGCGATATAAAAAGTGGCGCACGGCCGCGTCGAAAAACCGTGTCGAACCGCGGACGATCAGTCCCGGCGATAAATGATCCTTAATTCCGAGGGTGAAATCGCGGGCTCGGGGGCTGCTTCTCGTTCGGGAAAATGCATAGTTTTGCGTTCGATACGGTCGCGTGATGCGCTCGGTGTCGTCGCGGCGAAAACACCTGCAACGTCTTTCGAAAGCAGCGTAAATCGAGCGCCGATTGTGTCACCGCGACTCGCGTAATCGCGATCGAACGCGTTTCGACCGATCCTGGAGCCACTGATCGTTATTATTTATTCAACGGGTCGGCTGAGTAGATTAGCGTACTGAAAAGAACTAAAATAAGAGCGTCGACGGTATATTCGAATAAATTCGAAAATTATGAGGAACGAAGGTAACAAATAGTTTACCTAATTTGCAGATTCGCTGTCAGTGTAAATATGATATGTGGTTGTTCTGTCGTTGTAACAAAATATATAATGTTGTAAAAATGGCTGTTTACTCGTGTATGTGTACATATGTATGTATAATATATACTCGTTTATATATATGAAAATTGATATAGATATATATAAAATTTATTGATATAAATATATTTAAAATTTATTGTTATAGATATATTTAAAATTTACTGATGTAGATATATATATATATATAAAATTTATTGATATAAATATATTTAAAATTTATTGTTATAGATATATTTAAAATTTACTGATGTAGATATATATATATATATAAAATTTATTGATATAAATATATTTAAAATTTATTGTTATAGATGTATTTAAAATTTATTGATATATAGATATAGATAGATATAAAATATATATATAGATATATATAAAATTTATTGATATAGATATAGATATATATAAAATTTATACACACATAAAATCGAATTGAATTCAATTGAATTGGATTAAGTCGAATTAAATTAAACGAATACAAATGCATTATCGCTCATTCATTGGACTATTGGAATGCGCTAGAAGCGCACCGCGAGCAAACGCAGCGACAAGAATATCGAGTGAGGTATAATTGAATAGTTTTTTAGGCGGCTGAGAGAGAGAACGCTTTGCATGAAACGCGAATTAGAAAATGCCGAGGAATAAAATAGAAGTTACAAAACGACGGGGAAGAGTAAAATAGTAGACCGGAGCTGATACGGTGAAAGGAACGGCTATTTAACATCGCCCCCGTACATCCGATAATTAGAATGTCTTTGTGGTTAATAATTTCCCGGGAGACAAAGGAGATTTATATTTACTCTGGCGGCTAAATATTCATAAGAGAGAAAAATCATTTCAAAGGGGCCGGGCGACATGCATATTTAGCAGACTCTACGCGCGCGATCTTTGTCACGAATCCTATACAGTGGTTAAAGGAAAAAACGAGAGAGAAAAAGAAGAATAAAACGACGCACAGCTGGACTGTCGATTTCGTACAGATTTCGGTAGTGGATCGACGATGACAACAAATGGACCCGCGGAACGCGTTCGTAGCAAAAATGGGCGATGCAATTTTTTCGTCTTACCAAAATTATCCGAACAAACGATTTATTTCCACTCGATCACGGTTTCTTGGACGATCGTCTATGAAAATTCTGATTTCCCACGAAGATCCTAAGAATTGCATCGCTCGCGACAGCGATCGGTAAATCCACGAATTTACGTACCGAATGAATGCGCCGAGGTATCTCATTGCGAAAAAAGTAATCAGCGCGAACCGAATAAATCATCGAACGGAATGAAATGTTTACGGGCACGGAAGAAACGATATTACGCTCGCGGACGATGGGGAAAAGAGTGGAACACGAGTAGAAAACGGTGACGAAGCGAGACGATGGAGAACGATTAGCACGGAATGCTTCTTGCTGCGGGCCACGGAATAAAAAAGAGAAAAGAAAAAAAAACAATACGAACCATTACGCGCCGGGACGGCTGCCGCGTTCTATGGAATCGGTGATCGCGTTAATAATCACAGCGAGAAGATCGTTAACGGGCCGGAAATCGGTAATCGGCCGTAATAATCTGCTCCTTTTACATCCGCTTACGTTAGTTTCGTTTTTTTTTCTCTCTCTCTCTCGGAGCGACGCGTTAGTCGCGGCCACCGATTTTTTTTCTCCGCGGTGAAAAAGGAACAGCAGGGGAGGGGACCGGACGGTCGGCCCTTTTTCTGGGGCCCGCGACCGCGACGCTGTCAGGGCCCGGGGCCCGGGGGCCCCCGAGCGTTTTCTGTCGCGTTAATCGGAGTCAAGCTGCGCGCATCCCCCGGTAATGAGAATTATCCCCTTTCCCCGAATCTCCTCGTTTTCTTCTCTTCGTTCGGCGTCCGAGCCGTCGAAGCGGGGCCCGGCACGAAGCCCATTCGAACCGACGAACGGGATATATACTAATCGTACGGTTCATTACGAGCGCGAGCGCACGTTCGCGCGATGACTATGACTGATGCGGGGCCACGACGAATTGCGATGCGCATTACGAATAAATATCGCACTCTTTGCTCCGTGTCCCGTCTAATGTGCCCGTGTGCCCGATCATTATACCGCTTGGGTGGGTTTCGAAAACGGTCCCGGCGCAGACAGCTCGCGTTTAATTAAATATTCCGTGTCGCGGCCGCGGCCGCGGCGCCGCGCTCGCAATTCCGCGGCAGGACACAATCTATTCCTCCCACGCGCGAGCCGGCCCTCCGCGAGAGGACGGGCCCCGGGAAAGCTGTCGTCCGGCGACGACCACCTGCTCGATCCTCGAACAGCTAGATTCGATTCAATTATGCACGCCGCGCACCGGTGATTGCAGTCGCGGCTCGTCGCGTGCGTCCGCCAGAAAACCTCCGTCTTCTTATCCCTCTCTTCCGGTTCCAGACAGACGCGATCTTTAACCCGTCCACGATTCGATCGCGGATCGTTCTTTCGACGTGTCGACGAGTTTTCCGTCAATTTTTATGCCGGAGCTGCTTTTCGAGCACGAGATCGCGGCGAGCGGTGAAGCGAAGACGACGGCTCGGAAATGGTACGTCTTCGAAAATTCGTACGAGTCGTGCAAAATTTTTTTTAAAACTAAGACCAACGCAGTGTCGAAGAATGAAGTTTTGCCTTTCGAACGAGCTCTCGAAATTGAACGTACGATTTTTTCTCGCCGTTTTGTCGCGCTTCGAAGGAGACGTGTTCGACGACGTTCGTGCGATCCAAGATGCATCGTAAGGTGGTTGCAATTTGAGGCTCGCGGTTCCGGAAGGGCCGAATGACAAAAATAACAGGAAACAGTGCGAAAGCCGAGGCTTCGCGCTTTCGAATGAGCCGAGGTAGATTGATCTTCGATTCTTTTTCGCGAAGTTACGATAGTTCGAATATAGACATCGACAGATTTCCGCCGCAAATTCTGCGATCCTTCGCGATCGGAACGTGGAACAATGGAATCATTTTGGCGCAATGTCGAGAACTATTATAGAAAATATGGAAGAAAGAACGAAATTACTGAAGGAAGTAGCAACGTGGACGGTCGACTTCTCGCAGAACGTTTGGAATAAAAGAGGAGGATCTTTCGAAAGACCGTCGAGCCGTTGCACGCGGATAATTAGTGGGCGGAGCAGATCCAGCATGGGATGTTTGGTTTCCGGTGTTAAACGATCGATCGGGACCGCTGACCGATTAATGGAAAGCCGAAATCTATCACGGAAATCCGTGATTCCGACTAATGGCGGCGCGCGAGAGGCAATTCAGCCGATTCCGGGGCTCGCCATCTATCTTCGGGCGCGCTGGTAGCGAAGAAAGAAGGCATAATTAAATTAAATTAAGCCCGGCCGAGCTGCTCGGCCCTCTCCATCCCTTCGCTCCCCTTTCTGGCCGTCGTCCCTGCCATTCCTGCCGTCGTCGTCCTACCAGCGACGATAGAAGTCCCGACGCCGCCTTTATTTGCAAGCAATTTGCGCCGCGCGGATCCGGCTGCAAAAAATCTGAAAATAATGCCGCCGTATTAATCATATCCCTCCGCCCTTATCCTTCTTCGTTCGCCGCTTCTGTTCTCTCCCCGCCGACGACCGCAGAGCGGTCTGTTCCTCCTCGTCCGTGCGCGCCGCGCCGACATACTTACGCGCCTTACGCCCCCCGTCCTCGCGTATTTACGACCAAAAAACTCCGTATCCGTGCGCTGTCCGGGCCGCGGAATTTAGTGCACTGTTTATTGCGGCTTCATGCGAGACTCTTGCACAGTTCCTCGTTGCGTCCCGACGATCCTCGCTCGTCTCATTGCGCCGCCTTTATTCGCCTCGCGTCGGCCGCCTCTTCGTTTCGCACGCTCCCGGCTCCGTCGAACTTTTCGCGTTCTCTTCAACGAGCTCGCCGCCCATATGCATGGCCGACGAAATCGTTTGCATCCACGTGCAAATTCTTGCGACGACGTATTCGCCGCTGAGACGCGCGATCTTTCCGTTTCTATCTCGTTGAACAATTCGCAATTAATTTCAGGGAATTTTTGAACCACCGTGTATGTGCGTGTGTGTGTCTTCGGAAACGATATATTTGCGGCGAAGAATCTTTCTGAAGAATCTTGCAAATCTACGTACAATTTATAAAATTATGTTGGTCTGCGCGTACAATCTTTACGTACAGTCTTTACGTACAATCTGTAAAATTATATTTGCCGATAAACATGAATTCCTTCTTCCAAGGTGATCGCATCGACGAGCTATAATTTTTCACCTACCAGTTAAATAAAGGTGTCATTCCAGGATTTTAAAGTGATTTTGAAATTTCTTAGTCGCGCGGTTGCGAACGGAGAATCGACGCGAAGCGTATTCTCCGAATTCGATGGGAATTTATGCGAAGGAATCGTTGTGGCTGAGATCAAGAATAACGCGCGCCACGCGACCAGTTGCTGTGCCTTTATTTTCGAGGACAATTAAAACTTTCTATCCGTCGAATTAAGACGTTGAATCTCCCCATTCATTTATCTACTTTATTTATGAATTAAGAAATTTAACGCGTCTTGTCGGAGAAATATGAACTGAAACTATGTCCGAAAACGTATGAAAGGCGGAACAACTGGTCACTCAATAGTAACCGGCAATTACTCTGTACCTTGAAGAAGTAAAATATCGGCAGTGTCGTCATCTGCAAGCCATAGGCCTAATTTGAACAAAATACGAACGAACGACGACGGATTTCACCGGCGTCGGGAACAGCAAATTCTCCCTAATTTTCGTTCAGCTTTCAAACAAAACTGGACAATTTGGAAGGAGCGCGATTATTCGAGCCTCGCGGCTCGTTTTTATAATTACCGATCGTGAAAACAGGGTACAAGGCCCGATTAATCGCGTCTCCTTCTCCCAAATCGTGCATTTTCGCTGTCCAAGTCGACGGAAAATTAAGGAGAATTTGGAGCACCGCGTTTATTTCTCGATGACGAGTCGTCGAGGCGCGAACAAAGTCGCGAGAACAATGAACGAAAGAACGTCCGTTCGATCGGTCACCGACGGCGCGGACGGCGTGGGAGGGGAACGGGGTGGTCTCCGCGAACAGGGTTGAATTCCCGGAAAGCCGTCGGTAACCTGATTTCGCCGTGACGGTTAACCGTACGGTTAAAAGGAGGGTGCGTATTTACACGAGAGGCCGGGAATCACGGGGAACGAAATCGCATTCTGTTTACCAGCCAGTCGAGGTGATAATGCGACGCTCAGGACTTCTTTGGCTTCTTGGCGGGCTCGAGGCCGCTTCCGTATTCGGAGGTGTTGAGCATCCTGACGTTCTTCAACGAGCGGCTCTTCGGCTGTTGTTGGTCGCGCGCAGCCCGCTGCCGCTTGCCGGGCACCCCGTCGTCGGGCCTGGAAATCGCACAGGGCTTAATCGTCGCGTTAGCCCGAACCCGCAATTTTCGGTAATTCGACGTAAACGACATGTGGCGAGGACAGACAGCGCGGTAATCGAAAATCGGCAAAAAGCCGCGCGCTCGCCGGCCTCGCCTTCGGTGCACGGCCGAATAACACCGGCTCGAGGGAATTCGGGCAACTGCCGTGCCGAATTCCACTCGTCCCGTGCCTTTTTCTTTCCGTCGATCCGTATCATTCGCTCCGTATTCATTCACGGGATCTCCTTCCATTCGCCGCCGAACACACCGGGATCGTCGCGGCGGCCAACGTCATCGCGCGAAGTCCCTTCGATGCATTTGAATAGTTTCTGCTCGGCGCGATTCGGCGCGATCGACGCTCTTTACGTGAGATATAAGTAGATTATAAGCAGAAAAAGATACGTGATTTTGAGATATTTTGGAATCTTGGAGATATCTCGAAAATACAGGGTGTCCCAAAAATGTCTCGCGATCCGAAAGTGGCGGATTCCTCGGATCGTTTGAAGCAACTTTTCCCTTACAAAAATTTTCTCCGAGGCACTGTTAACGAGTTATCAACGAAAAACAGTGACCAATGAGAGGCGAGCTCGGCTGGCGCGAGGCGACCGAGCCAATGAGCGGAACCGGGCTTCGTGCGCTAGTTGATTGGGCCGCCTCGCGTCAGCCGTACTCGATTCTTATTGGTCACTGTTTTTCGTTGATAACTCGTTATCGGTGCCTCGGAGAACATTTTTGTAAAGGGAGAAGTTGCTTCAAATGATCCGAGGAACCCGCCATTTCCGGATTGCGAGACATTTTTGGAACATCTTGTATATTGGAGATACAGTAATGTCTTCCTTATTGACGCTTAGATTGCGCACGAAAATGGACAATTTGGGAAGAGGAGATGCGATTATTCGAGCTTTGCGGTTTGTTTTTATGGTCACGAATTGTCAATGATTATAAAAACGAGCTGCAAGGCTCGAATAATCGTATCTGCTTTTCCCAAATTGTCCATTTTTGTGCACAATCTGAGCGTCAGTAAAGGAGACATTACTGTATCTCGCAGCGAATAGTATATCTGGATAATGCGATTCCATCTTTAAATGGCCATACCATCTTAGGGCATCGGGATAAATTCATTTTCACCAACTTCGATTTAGTATATGCTAATTTTCGAATGTATAAAAGAAACTTCGATTCAAATGCATCGAACGTCCTATCATTTTATGCGGCTGTCCTCCGGAGATCGTCCAAGGTTAAGAGATCCATCGGAGTCCCAGGATCGGGGAACAAGATAAGGTAAACGGTGTCCACATGCACTCAATCGTTATATCCATGTCCTGGCTCGTTCATGCAGGCACACGTGCAAAAATGGAAACCATAATCGCGACCACGGAGGTCTTCCAGAAATCAGAAGGAGGGAAAGGTCCATCGGAATCCCAGGATCGGGAAACAAGATAAGGTAAACGGTGTCCACATGCACTCAATCGCTATATTCATGTCCTGATTCGTTCACACAGGCACGCGTGCAAAAGCAGCAACCATAATCGTAAGCACAGAGGTCTTTTAGAGATAAAAGGAAGGGAAAGAATCCATCGAAATCCCAGGATCGGGGAACAAAGTGAACAAAACAGTGTCCAAACAATGTCCATATGCACTCAATCTCTAAATTCATATTCTGGCTCGCTCGCGCAGGCGCGCGTGCAAAGACAGAAACCATAATCGCGACCGCACAGGTCTCCCAGAGAGATCAAAAGAAGGAAGAGGTCCATCGGAAATTCCCAGGATCGGAGAACAAAATAAAGTAAACAACGATGCAAACGGTGTCCAAACGTGTCCACGCGCACCGAACGACTACATTCGCGTTCTGGATCGTTCGTGCGTCCACGCGCGCAAAAAAACAGCAGCCATAATCGCAAGCACAGAGAGGTCTTTTAGAGATCAAAGGAAGGCAAAGGGTCCACCGGAGTGGCGGGATCGGGGAGCAGAGTGGAGGAAACGTTGTGCAGACTTGTCCACACGGGCACTCGCGTAGCATCCGTGTTCTCCCGCGCGTGTTTGCACGCGCGCACACATACACACAGAGCCAGAGAGAGAGAGACGGGAAACAGGCGTAATCGCACCCACAGAGGCGTACACCGCGGGTCTCTCGATCCATTGGACCGTCAGCTCGGTGCCCGCCTTTCACCCATTAAAACGGACTTGTTCTCTCGCTACGGGCGGAGGGCGCCCGTCGGGTACCCGTTTCTGCGCGCCGAAAGCACGCCCATTCAAATCGCATTAAACAAGTTAATGCCGAATGCCGGGCCGCGGGCGAGGAACCGGCCCGCGAACCGAGTGTCGATCAGCCTTTTGATCGGCAGCGTTCATTAGCGGCCTAATGAATAGCTGTTTGAAATAAGACCGCGGAGACCCGGCGTTGCTCTAGTCGACGAAATTATAAGGCAACCAGCCGTCGGCATTTCGGATTCCGACAATGTTGTTAGGCGGAATGTTTTCTTTTTTTTCAACGATTTTCGCGGTGGCGCGCAGCCGGTTAGCAGCGATTCGGTCTCTCTCTCCCTTCTGCCGCGAGAAACACTGGAAAAAGCATTCTGCCCGACGACGATTCGTGTTGTGCTTGTGTCAGTGTCGCGCCCTCCATCGTTAATTGGAGACACGGAGTATCTGTGCGAATGGAAATTAGCGACGTTTAACCTTTTAGGTACGGCTGAATTCTGCGCGAGGCTATCTCTCTGGACGGCAGAGTCTGATATGTACTGTACAGAGTGTCTGTATATTCTGTCTGTATATTGTTAAGATACAGTTATATTGTTAGCGATTATATTGTTAAGATCAGTCTGTATATTGTAAATCGATGCGAAGACAAAAGAAGTGTGAAACAGTGCATACGAAGACGATTATTTGATTCAGAAGATGACCGAGTGAGCTACTAGAGTAAGCCACTATAGTGGCGCGTCGTGCCTAAAAGGTTAAATAAACGGTTCCGGTTCGTGTGAATTGTTGTTCAACGCAGGTGCAATAGGACCTGCTTCTGCTCGGCCAGAAGCGGCGTTCGAGCAAAGCCTGTTGCTTTCTAAGCCGGACGAATGTAGAGGATAGGATAGCAGAGCTGATTACCGCGGGATGACCAATTGGCATAGGTTGTTCTCGCGCATAATTAACCCTTAACGGTCCAATGCCGCCATATGCGCGGCAGAAATCAATGAAACCGTAAAATCTGGCAGGAAACGTTAGAAAAATAGGCACGATTGTTTCGATGAAAATATATCAACGAAGTTTTGTTTAAAAAACGAATATCTCTTCTCTATATTCGATAGAAAAATTTTCAGTAAAAAATTTCTCTTCGTCTGAAAAAGAGTCTGGACTTGGCAGTGTGTAAACCGGAAATAGTTTCGGTCCCCTAAGGGTTAATTTTGTATTAACCGAATGAGGCGTGTTAAATATTTTCAGTCTTTTACTTCGATTATTTTGCAACACAAAAAAATTTAATACGTCTCAGTCGATAAATATAAATATAAATTATGAAAGAAAACCAAGAGCACAGCAATTGCAATGGACCGCACAGTAACCGGCTCCGCTACCCTATGGCAATTCTAGTAGCACGATTACGTCTATTGCACTACAACATTACGATCGATCGCGGTCTCAAGATTCAATATAATTCGTTTCTTGGCGCGAAACCGATGCAACGTTATAAATCGATACGAAATCTAAAGATTAAATTCTCCAGGCTCCTAGACTATTTAAATCATTTATACGCAATCCAAAGTGCCAGATACGCATGTTCGTCCGCAGAGGGAGGAGGGGGTGAAGAATGCAGGAAATTTTCGACGAGCGAAGGAACCGAAGGAAAGAAACGGTGGTGCGCGCCGAGTGCAAAGCCGAAGAGAAGCAAGAAGCCTAATTCATCGGAACGCGTCGCCGATGAAAAAGCATCGGCTTCGCAGCGAGGAGCAGGCGGCGAAGAGAAAATCAGCTCGGTTTGTGCGCGAGATTTCGACGAAGGGAGATAGCATAAGAGGGGAACAGCATAGACAGAGCAAGACAGAGAGAGAGAGAGAGAGAGAGAGAACAAGAGCAAGAGTGAGAGAGAGAAGAGAGGGAGTGAAGGGAGGCTCGTGCTCGTCCCGTGGTTTCCGTAAATGGCGCAGCCAGGGCCGGAAGCAGCGGTCGCATCAGTCTGTTTAATAGCCGTATTGTATAATTATGAACAATGGCGAGATGGAGCGAGAGAGCCGCGGGGCGAGACCGAGTGGTCGGAGAGAGAACAGGAGAAGCCTGGAGAAGGGCAGAAGCCAGCCGAATGCCATGTGAAATGCATACCCGGCGAGATAGAGAGAGAGAGAGAGAGAGAGAAAGAGAGAGAGGGAGAGAGAGAGAGAGAGAAAGATAGAGAGACAGAATAAGGGGAGAAAGAGAGAGGACAGGAGCGAGACAAGGGGGGAAACGGAGCGAGATGGCGAACAAACGAGGATGAGCACGACGAGAGACGAGAGCCGTATGGCTTATGGCTGCCAGCCACCGTACACGAACGTCCGCCCGTTCGTCGTACATGACGAATGACACAAAGCGACAGTTTTGACGTATCTGGCCTCTCTAGGAGCCACCGGAGAGCTGTCCCGCGCGCCGCTCTCTCTCTCTCTCTCTCTCTCTCTCTCGCTCTCTGCGTGTGCGTTACGTGGCGTGCGTTCTCCACGTGGTTGCGTCCGCCAGTTACCGTGAACCGAGGGAAACCGAGGGAAGCCGGGGTGGTGGTGTAGGGAAGGGAGAAATCGGGCCGCATCGCGGTTAACACGGCAAGCCACGCATGAATCCGTCATTAATACTGCGAGCACAGCCGCACGTCTCCGCGATACTCTCTCAAACGGTCGCGAACCGGTCGGCCGAACCGTCCTCGACGTCCTCGGGACCTCATGGCTTCCGGCCAGCCAGCCACGATCCTCTTCTGTCCCTTCATCGATCCGAAATACCGAACCACTCACCGCTCGTTCGCCAGTTGATTCCTGTGCTGCTGTTGCTGCGGATCGCCCTCCTTCTCCCGCAGCTTCTTCGCGATCCCGCCGATCCGCTGAGGTGTCTCCCTGAGAGCGAAACTCTTCGCGTAATGGCCCAAGTGGAGCTCCTTCCGGTTGAACGCCTCCCGCATGTTGCGGGGGTAGCTCGAGTAGAAACGCATCCAGGAAATGTACGCTGTAAACGAAACGACGTTGTTCTTATTTTCTTTTTTGGAGAACTCTGCGCGAGCGAAAGAACGATTAAGAGCTCGGAGGGCTGATCTGTTCGATGCATGGGGCGGAGGAAATAGTTTTGTTGGAGATAAGGGCGAGCGCAGCAATAAAATTATATATATATATACAATAATTTTATTATCTCCAACAAAATAGCGAGATATTTATATTACTTATATATATATAATATATATAATATAAGTAATATAAATATAAATATATAAATAATAAATATAGGTAATAAAATATATATAAAAATGAATTTTATCTCGTAATACATCGCGGCAAGTCTGAATAAATGCAATATTAACGATACAGTAATGTCTCTCTAATTGACGCTCAGATTGACCACAAAAATGGACAATTTGGGAAGAGCAGATACGATTATTCGAGCCTTGCGGTTCGTTTTTTACAGTTACGAATTGGCAACAATTATAAGAACGAGGGCTCAAATAATCGTATCTCTTATTCCCAAATTGTCCATTTTCGTACACAATCTGAGCGTCAATTAGGGAGACATTACTGTATCAGTAATATAGCATTTATTCGGACTTGCCGCGATTTTTATTACGCACGTTGCAATTAACTCTCCGCCGCCGCTTTTTCCATGCGACGCGATACGCCGCACGGTATTCAAAGTGTCGCTCAAAAACTAGCAATACTATTCGCACCAAAAAATTTGAAAATATAGTTCGAACATTCTGGAACATCGTTTCCTTCACTAGAACTCGATATCTCGCTTGCAAATGTGTCAAATTAATTGTTAACTTCACTCGTTCAGGACTCACAAAAATGTGGGCCATTTTAAGAGGTTCGTCCAGAAACGTTTCCCAAAAGAATTTCTCTCATTCCAACGGTTGATCGAGAAGAAACTGAAAACAAATCATTTCCGGTTTCGATCGAGACTCGATCGGTTGCGTGGCATTCCCAAATCGCTTAATATTGCACGAACGAACGGCGCGCATCTTCTAAATTGGACGCTCGAAACTTCTCGTTAAAAAATTGAAAAGATATAATTGCAGTGGCTGTAGCTTATTGCTTCTTTCTTTATTTTTTTTTCATTCTCGTGGAGCGCCGTACCGGCCGCGCCGCGTAAATGAGGCCACGTGCGCTCCGCCGTAACGCAACCATAATCACTGGCTGCGTGTTAGGCAGCGCGCCCTTATTAATCGTGGTTCCATTAAGTTCCACGGGGCCTGGGCGCCGCGATTCTATGGGGCGGCGTGCCCCCGGCCGGGCTATTAAGAGGCATTAACGGGGGTCGAGTCAAGTGCTGTGGCTAATAGTCACCCCCTTATGCTCGCCGCAGCGTTCTCTTCTAGGTAGCCTCTCGGCTCGCTCGCTCGCTCGTCGCGGGGGTGAGAACCTTGGGGGTTCCCCGATCCTGAGAGAACTTGACATGTGCCAGTGTTACTGTCATTCCGTGCGAAAAATCTACCGTGAAGTGCCCCGCTTTCTGCCCGCTCTTTTGACGGATGAAGCTACTCGAACGTGGCCCCACCCCTCCGCGCACGTTCGGTATCCAACTTTTGAAAGCTACAATTATCGATGTCTGAGAGCGAGTCGACGCGGAAAGGAAAACCGTTCCGAGTGTTCTCGGCCTCGTTACGCCTCGTAGCTTCACCCCTCGGGATCGCTACGGCGAAAAACAAAAGCCGCAGGTCGTACGCGTAAATCATCGATGGACGTCGTCGTTTTACGTAACTATTCGTTCGCTTTTAATAAGCCGTGACTTTCGGTCTTTGTACTGTTAGATCGTTGGCTGGCGGTCGATGGGATCAGACTGTTCTAAGTAGCTTTGCACAGAGTTATCTTTAGCTCGAGAAACTAAGAAATTGTCTATACATTGTGGATAAATGTAATTGGAGGGGTAAATATGTTGTAACCAAATTTTTTAAATGATTCGAGCAAGAAAGCTCTTTCTTGCAGTAAAAACCTAATTTCATTATTCTTATAATATATTTTATCTATAACAGCTATAATATTTTACCTATATTTTATCTATAACAATCTAATATGTTTTACACGTTATAATGTAATATATTTTATACATTGTAATGTAATATATTTTATAGATTATAGTGCAATATATTTTATTCATTATAATGTAATATATTTTATACATTGTAATGTAATATATTTTATAAATTATAGTGCAATATATTTTATTCATTATAATCTCTAATATATTTTATGCATTATGATCTACTGTACTTTATAAATTATAATGTAATATATTTTATTCATTATAACGTAATATATTTTATACAGTATAATTTAATGTACTTTATAAGTCATAACGTAGTATATTTTATTCATTATAATGAAATATATTTTATACATTATAATGCAATATATATTTTACTCATTATAATCTAATATATTTTATACATTATGATCTAATGTATTCTATAAATTATAATGTGATATATTTTATACATTATAATCTAATATATTTTATAAATTACAATGCAATATATTTTATCCATTATAACGTAATACATTTTATACACTGGTTCGTTGCCAAAGGTTCAACGAGTAAAAAGAAAAGGCAGAGTTTTCGAGGTCGTGGACCATTGTCGAGGATACCTAAACGCCCTTAATTCCGATAATTCACGCGGCAGACCTTATGACCCGACATTTTCCGGCTGGATTTCCGTCTGCCTTCCATCCCGAGGCCGTCTCCTCCTTGCGGAAAGAAACTCGCGGCGATCTTTCCCCGGTGTGTCCCGGCGTCGACGACGCCGTCTCAAAAGGGAGAAATGTTTTTCTCCATTTAGCACATAAATCAGCGACGCGGGGTGGTGGTGTATCTCTCCGCGAGAACGCGGAGCGAGGCGACGCCGAGGGGGGTGCAAGAGAGTGGGTCGCGTGGGGCGGCATTGTTCCTAAGTGATGTAACTGCGTCTTATTGTATTTGTATCCTGTATCGCATTGTTAAGAGTCTCTCGCCACAAAGCGTAAGTGGTTTTAGCGGAAGCCACATTCAGTGGTTGGATTGTGTCGGCCACCCCCTCGGAGGGTGTATAACCGGTGTACACTATGTTCGATCTAACCCGAGCCGAGGCCGATTCTCACCGAAAACGTTCCTCCGTTCGCGAATTATACCCCCTCGAGAGTCGAAATTGCGACGAGGATTTTTTAAAGCTAACGGTTTATTCGCGCTGATCGTTTATTTTTTAAATAGAACAACGATTTTATCGGTCCGTTGTCGATGCTTAATATGTTCAATAGGTTGACCGGCTTTTGAAATTCATTTTTAATAAGTCGAAACCGAATGTTCTGGGATTTTTACAGTGCGGAACAATCGAACTTAATATTTGTTATGGGGAATTTTACTTGCACTGCGAATTGTTCAATAACTGCATCGATTAGCGCCCCTTTGTCGTTAATAAATTCCTATAAGAGAGAAAGAGAATTTATGTTTATCGTGCCAATTGTATTTATAATTGCCAACGATTGATAACAAAAAAATTGGATTTCATTTCTAATTATTATTATTATTATTATGGAGAACATTTATTATTATTAGTATTAGAGTTAGTATTAGTATTAGTTGTATTATTTTATTATTAGTTATTATATTATTTTATATATATATTATATTATTATTATTAGTTTTATTATTAGTAGAGTCTGACACGTTGTTCTAGTGCAAATAGTTCAACATTAAACTAAATGTATAAAATATACAATAATAATAATAATAATAATAATAATAATAATAATATAATAATAACTTTTGTTTTCTGCCGAGAAGCTAGCAAGAAAATTCTAGCCTAGTTGCAGCTAGGAAGACAACAGCGCGACCGAAGGGTTGCAATTTCCAAGAGAAATTAAATACTGAACAATACCGAATAATACTAACAATGCTAAAATTAAAACTCGAAAGACCGCGACACGAGCAGCTTCGATAAATTGCCACCGAAATCGAAAGCCCTGTTTGGGCAGCTCAAGTAGGTTCAGACACCCCGTATACGAGCCGAGTGGACGGGTCTCTTAGGTCAGCGGTAGGGGTCGAAGACCAGGGGGTTGTTCCATAGAGTTGCGTCCGCTATTGAGGGCCGTTCGGATCTATTGGGGTGATAATGTTACGAATTAGCGAGATTTCCACTTCCCCGCACCGTGGCCCGCCCCTCCGTCGGTCGGGAATTAAATAAATTCTTGGGGGTGGGAAGAGGGGAAATTATGTGGCTGTGTAGTAGAGAGTCCCATAGTGTCTCGACGGAACCTACCTATCCGACGCGATCTTTGTGTTAACAAATCTTGCGGGTGCCGTATATCGATTCCAATATCTTATCCATCTTTCTTTTCCCCGATCGCCTCGATTCCCGCGCGGTGTACACAGCTTCCCCCCCAACGGGAGGGGAGGAGGGCGAGAGAGCGCGGCCGAATCGCGCCCGGGCGACAATTAATCTATCAATCACCCGGAGCACGTAGAGGAACGGTCAAGTGGTTAACTGTGTACCGTCACTCAAATCTGGAGCGGCTAAGCGCTCAAAAACCGTGGCTAACCTTCGTGTAAAGCCACCCCTGACGCGGGACAACCCGCGGAACTCCGGAACCTCTTAGAAAGATTTATGGTCTTTATTTTACGTTTCGAGAATGGATCGGATCTTTCTCGAAAATAAAAATCGCCTGCCGCTTCCTCTCTCTCTCTCTTTCTCTAGCTTTCTGGTGCTCTGTCTCTCGCGCTCTCTTTCGCTCTCTTTCGCTCTCTAGCGCTTTACCTCTCGCTCTCTTTCGCTCTCTTTCGCTCTCTAGCGCTTTACCTCTCGCTCTCTTTCGCTCTCTAGCGCTTTACCTCTCGCTCTCTTTCGCTCTCTCGCGCTCTGTCTCTCGCTCTCTTTCGCTCTGTCTCTCTTTCTCTCTCTCTCTCTCTCTCTCTCTCTCTGCGATGATTCCTGAGACCGAAGGTTTCCTCCGAGTGGTCCCAGCCAATTCCGTCGAACGAATAAGATCATCTGGCCTGGCTAATCACGAATAGATAGAACGAACGTTACAGGGGACTACTACTCTCCCCTAGAGTGGAACGATCGTGTCCTAATGGATTTATTATTGCAGCAAATAAATTCGGTGGCCGAACGACCCTAATAGGGCGGCCGTGGCACACGGGCAAACAAGATCATCCTTCCTCGTCCATAGAGTATGTAAATATCGGAGCGGCGGACGAGAACCGAGACACAGAGTGAAGGCTCTCGAACGCGAGCGTATGGGGGTTACTTTATATGCGAGTGGGGTGGCCCGCTGGAATTGGCTTACCGCTACTACCACCCCCCCGAAGTCAGCTCGCTTTCGTTCCGATCCAACTGAATCGGAATGGGCGCCGCTCCCTCATCCTTCGCTAAATTTCATGAGTACTTTGTGTTTCAACGGGAGAGCTGCCGCTCGGAATCGCGTTAACCGGAAGACCGTAAAGCCGATCCGGCTTTCTATTAAACCGCTGCCTCGCTAGCCCGGCCGTTGTTACATCGAGCACCGCGCGATTTTCATGCCATCCCCCTTTTCATCGGCAACGTATCGACGGCGGTTCGATTTTTTTCTTCCCCCCTCTCGCTCTCTCCGGCGAGAGAGAGTCCGGCATTTTTATATGTATTCGCGCCGCGAGTTTTGCGATTCTATCGGCGGACGATCCGCGATCGGAAAGAGGAGCGTCGTCGGTCCTTCGGACTCGGAGTCCCGCTTTTTAGGGGGAGGGGAGGGACGTTCAGTTTCGGGCGTTCATTCTTCGGCGGGAATTAATTTGGATTAATCCATAGGGGATCAAAACTATTTATTTCTCGTCTATCGGCGCCTCGCCCTCGTATCCCCCGCGATTCCTCGGCCTACACCCCTGGCGACACCCTTTTCGATCGTCGGCGTTTCGGGATCATCGCTCGCGAGATTTTTAATCGAGCACGAATTTAACCCTTTGCACTCGAAGATGTTTCAACTGTAAATCTGAAGTAATTTTTCCGACTTATAGTATTTTTATTTTACACGACAACGTGCGTTTTATGCGTATGAAATCGACTATTGCAACTCGCGCAACGGTTACGCTCTTAACGATCTTTTTAGATCTAAGCTTTGCTGATGTAAATATTATTTTAGAACGTGACATCGTGAATTTTAATGGTGCTGCAGTGTCACCAATTGAGTGCAAAGGGTTAATTCAACTTAACCCTTAGGGGACCAAAATTATTTATTTCCACTGCCAAGTCCAGACTGTTTTTCAGACGAAGAGAAATTTTTTACTGAAAATTTTTGTATCAAATACAGAGAAGAGATATTCATTTTTTAAAAATAAAACTTCGTTGATATATTTTCACATCGAAACAATCGTGCCTATTCTTCCGATGTTTCCTGCTAGATTTTACGGTTTTATTGATTTCTGCCGCGTGTATGGCGGCATTAGACCGTTAAGGGTTAATTCGGATATAATTATATATATATCATATTATTATATATTATTATATTATTATTATTATATATTGTTATATTATTATATTATTATTATTATATATTATATATTATTATATTATTATTATTATATATTATACAAATTAGAGGGCAAGTAGGATTTACGCCGAAAGCTTCGATTTTTGACACTGTTTTCCGTCTGATCGCGCTTTTAAAATTTAAATCTTGCATTCAATGTCGATATTTGTATTTATTAAAGACACAAACATAACCCTCGTTTTGTACACTGATAAAAATTCGCTCGTTCCCAGCTTCAAATGCAGCGAAATCTGCCACGAAATAAAACGTGGTGGAATGAAAATGCGACCAAGAATGCAAAAACAGTCGACACAAAAATACCAGCTGCAAAATTATGAAACAATCGGGAGAATAAAATCGCGCGAATCGAAGGAAAGTCTTCGTTCGAAGATCTTTCGAACGAACTATGCCCGAGGAGTATAATTCGCGGATAACCAATAACATCGAGGCACGATTAAATCGCACTTACCCTTCACCGCCCTGCCGCGAAGCTTCGATTCCTCGAGCACCAACGTCTCGAACTCGTTCTGCAACGCTATCGCCGCACCATGAGCGGAGCTGTGCTTGCACAGGGGAGTCAGAAGATTGCCGAGCACGTCGTCCATGCTCTCCTGTTTGATTCGAATGCGCCTGGACTCGAGCATCCGGACGAACTCGATCTCCGGCGGGGTCAGGAAGATCGTCGCCGTTCCGGAGGAACCGGCTCGCGCCGTTCTGCCGATTCGGTGCACGTAATCCGTCGCTGAAATCGGACCCGTGTACTGCACCACGTCGTCCACCTTCGGCAGGTCCAATCCCCTCGCCGCCACGTCCTGGGAAAACAGAAATAATCCGCGTTGCGTCACGACCCGATCGACTCGAACGCGTGAATTTTTGCGACGATTCTAACCGATGTGCTGAAGCTCTTTGACACTGCGTTCATGATACTTTGTTCAAAAAATTTCCTTTAATTTGTCATGCTATTGTAACACGGGGGCTTGCTCCCGCCGATCAAATAAATATAATAATAATAATTATTATTATACTAATATGTATAAGACTAATAATAATAATAATTTGCTATACTATTGTAACACAGGGACTTGATCCCGCTGATCAAATAAATATAATAATAATTATTATTATTATACTACTATGTATAAGACTAATAATAATAATAATTATTATTATATTAATATATATAAGACTAATAATAATAGTTATTATTATTATATTAATATGTATAAGACTAATAATAATAATAATTATATTATTATTATTTTATTTTCAATTTAGATTCCTAACTTGAATCTCTGCAAAGTAAGTCATTGCTAAATAAATAATTAAATTATAATAATAAAAAGATAAAATAAATGATTAAATTATATTGAGATTCAATGTTCTGTCTCCCCGGCACGATCCAGAGAGATCTATTTCGAGATCTCGAATGTTTCATCCAACGAGGAAATAGTTGCACATCGATCTGCAACAGGCACGAAATGATTGCGAGATGTGTCGAATTTTTTTACAATTTTCTAGCGTCTTCTAATCGACGAACCTTTTTCATTACGCGTCGGATACCGCTGCTTGTCTTCGACTATCGCGATCGGACCGTGCATCGAATCGACTATCGATCTATCGAATTAACTCCTAGCAGAGTCGGTCAATGTCCCCGTAAGAATTCCATCCGGCGAAGAAGGAACGTATCGACAAAAACGTCCAAATCGACTCCCGTTTCGAAAAAGTTGTCTTTTCATAAAACGATCGACACGATCGCGCGAACTAGTTCTCGATCGACGATTTCATCCGCGATCGACGCACAGGTTCGCCGTGCAAAAGCGCGTTCATTCTGATCGTCGAGCGGAGAGCGTGCGCGCGCGATCCAGCCAGGTACAAATGTCTTACAAACCGCGTCGATTTCTCGTTTTGTACAAAGGTGAATGCGCGCGGCTGGCAGCGGGCGCCCGCTGCGGGACCCCAACGGCGAACGTTTGAGCACGGCCCTGATTTCCTTGCGTTCGGTTAACCAATGATTTACCGAACCGAGCACATCGAGGTTCTGCTTGACGGCCCTGGAGACTAATCCCGGACCACCAGTGGGGGGGCGGCGTCCTGGCCCCGAAAATTCTTTCGCGGCACGATACGGACGCGTCTCGACTTCTATGTTTCCTTTTCGTCGCCTCGGTTCTTTCCTTTTTTCTTTTCTTTTTATTGAATTAATTCGACGCCGGTCTACGACGCCAAGGTCCGGGCGCCGAGCGCGAGGGAGCACCGGACGTAGAAACGAATATCGACGGGGCGACGCGCATTCTTTCGCCGAGCGCGCGCGCGCGCCGAATTGCATCCTCGACGCGGTCCTAAGTGACACAAGCGACGAGCCAGCGTTGTACAACGAAGATGCGGTATGACAATTGTTTTTAATAATAAATATAGGTTATATTGTTGTGCCATAAAAAATTCAAAGCTTTATTCTTTACTCCTACGAAGGAATCTTGAAATATCGAAGCCGATTCACTGCACCTTCTAAAACGCAATAATTTCTTTAAAACTGGACTAAGTGACTTCAATTTCTTTTTTTTTTTTTAGATGATAGGGGGACTAGTCTAGCGGACAATGACCATACAAGCTCAGATAAAAAAGTTAAGAAAGCTTTTCAGCTTCTTATCTTTTCATTCCTTTTCATTTCTTATCCCCAGTAATGGCAAAATTAAAAAGTGTCATTTAAATCTAATCTAATCTAATACAGTGGTCTCTCCATCGCCTAAAAAAAATTCAAGTCACTTATAATCCAGCTTTAAAAAAGCTACTACGTTTTAGAAGGTGTACGAACTCTTTTATGGGCCACTGTATCCATGTAATCCATGTAATCCATGCGGAACATGATTTATTGTAACAACCAATGGGGATCTAATCTAGCTTTGTACGCAAGTAATCGTTTTATTTTCTCAACGTTCATGTCCTCGCTGTTGTCTCGCCCTTTTTAGAAGGTAATACGCAATAGCAATCTTTAACGGCTCGTAATTCAATCCTTGATTGATCGTGCTGGAACAACAACTTGCCTGCACTACCGAATGTAGCTGCACAGATTTCAGAAGCAGCATCGTTGCACAAGTTGCGGCACGTTCTCCTTAGAACGATTCGAAACTACTTTATCGAACGTATACCCTATGTATGTACCCTAGGTGTCCCAAAAATGTCTCGTAAACCGGAAAAATGAGAGGTTCCTGGGATCGTTTGAAGTAACTTTTTCCTTAGCGAAAATGCAACCCGTGGCTTCGTTTACGAATTATTAACGAAAAACACTGACCAATGAGAGGCGAGCCCGCCTAGCGCTTCGCGGCCGAGCCAATGAGCGCACGAAGCCCAGTTCCGCTCGGCCGCCTTGCGCCAGCGTATCTCGCCTCTCATTGGTCACTCTTTTTCGTTAATAACTCGTAAACAAAGCCGTGGATTGCATTTTCGCCAAGGACAAACTTACTTCAAATTACCTCAGGAACCTACCATTCTCGGATTGCGAGACATTTTTGGGACATCCTGTAGAATATCGAGGGCCATTTCGCCGAGCGGTTACACGCGCGATAATGTTCTCGACGCATGGATATACATATAAATACGCGAATTCGAAGCGTACCGATCGATTCGTTCGATCCTATTCTGTCGGGCGAGAACGATCGAAGGAGAGATCTCTAATACGAAGATCGCGAAGCCGAACGCGATCGAGGCGCAGAAGGCGCGATGGACCGTCTCGATCACCGGGCGCGTCTCGGAATCGCCCGGCGATAATTTCCAGGGTATAATGGATCGTCGACTAGGAGCAGGCCCGATTAGGATTTACCGAAAAAGATCGCTCGATAATGCCCCGGCCAACGTCGGGCAACGCCTACGCGTGTTTCTTGCGGTACAAGCAGCGCAGTTGCCACCGGCGCGATATAATGTAACGAAAACAGGGACGAGGAGCGATCGATGGCAGCGATTAAGACAAACGATCGTTTAGGGGAGAGAGGCCGCGATCGTGGCCCGGAGGATCGAGAACGGATCGTCCGCTCAAAACATCTCACTCGGGCCATAGATCACCCCGTGGATCCGGATCCACCACCGCTGAGAGCCGCGGAACATTCCATCCGCGGGGGCTCCACGTGAGTTTTCAACGTGGAAATTAATAACGCTGCCATAGAATTCTCCGGCGCAAGTGACGCCGGTGAAATGTGGCCGGCTGCCATCGTTGCTCATGCAACCGAAGAGACGATGATCTCGCCGCCGCGCCGAAATTTCACCGAAACTTTATCTCGGCCGCTCGGAGATCACGTCGGAGAACATTTCTCTCTCTTCTCGGTGATCGTAAACTTTCGATTATTCTTCGATCGCTTTCGAAACAACTTCCTTCGACATCGCTCGTTGGATCCGACGCGAACAGCGCCGGGAATATGAATTTAGACGGATCGTTCTGCGGATCGAAACGCGGATCTTCTGTGGATCGCCTACGATCGCGTAGATCCGAGAAAAGCCTAGAAAAGCTGAGAAAAGTTAACTCTTTGCACTCGAAGCCGTTTCAACTCGAAATCTAAATCTATAATATTTTCGTTTCATTTAAATCGCCGCATTTGAAGCAACGATTACGCTTCGCGCAATTGTTTAAATATTAAAACAAATTCGATGATGCTAAAATTATTTTGTAACGCGACAAGACAATATTTAACGGCGTCTTGGAGTCGGCACTCAATTGCAAAGGGTTGAATAATCCACACCGAATGCAGTAACTTCGATGTTAACGTCTTCTTTCGCTTTCGTAGAATCGCGCGAACAATTGGAGAAGCGTTCGCCGATTTCGACGAAGCTCCGCGCGGCGCCTGAAATTCCGGCTGAACTTTCGATTGAATATTTTCACGGGACCTGCGGAAGCGGTCGTTAATATTTCTCGAGGAAGACTCTACGCGAGAATAAATAACGCGATTAGATCGAAGACCGTGATAACGATGATATAATTAACGCGCCGGCCGAACGCTGACTGCGACGTTGGAACATTTAACTTCGTCCGGGGCGCAGCAAAGGTGGCCGAAAGGTGGCCGAAAGAGCTCGGTAGTTCGATTTTAATCTTTGAATCTCCTCGATTCGACGTGGGCCGTTCGGAACGCTCCTCGCGTGTCCCTTAATCCGGCCATTCAGGGAACAGGTTGGCAATTAAACGGGCATCGGCGAAACAGGAAAACCCACGGCGAGTCACCGTGAAACACGTGTCAGATCGACGGCGCCGGTTCGCCTGATTAAAACGAATTAATCCTCCCCGTGGGCAAAGGTGTCACTCGTTGCGTGTCGCCGAGCATGAATTTTCGACCGGGGCCCGGATATTATTCCTGCGGCCGCGGCGCTGGCATGCGAGCCTCGCGTTAAACCGGCCGGGAAGCGATAATGTTAATAACAATCGGTTTAATCATCGCTATTATTGAATCTCCCGGGAGCGGTTATCTCGCGGCGTGATCGAGCGCTTTCGCCGCTGCTAGAGCCCCGCGATCGCCGGCTATCGTTTCGCTGGATCGCGAGCACTCGAATTTCGTTCCTTCCGTAATTAAGTAATTACGGAGATCCGACATTTTTGTCAGCAAATGGCGTGGAAAGTACGCGAACCGCGCGACTAGAATTACGATCATTCGAGGAAGCGGATTTTTAGAGACTGTTGATCGTCGCCGATGAAAACCGGAATTAGGATGCTCAGATTTCACACGATGATCGAGCGCCTTCCGATCCTATACAGATCGCCGTATTCGACGCGCGAAGAAGGATCGACGAAAGTGCAACTAAATGGTCGAGATTCTTCGAGCGCTAGGACTGTTTTCAAATTAAACGGGGACGTGGAAATTCGACGCAGCGATTAGGCTTCTAGGATATAAAAATCCGAACGAGACTCGGGTAACGCGGAGGTAGCAGTGAAATAAATTTTGAACGGAACGGGAACCTCAATTAGGCTAGATCGCGAGGTCTGAGCCGGCGCGGCGCGGCACGGCGCTCGATCGGTTTCAGGGTAATTAGCAAACGAAAGAGAGCGGTTCTTGCGTAATTGCACGATGCAGGAAGCGGTCTGCTTTCATGCGGACGTGCACCAAAATTAGAGTAGGATCGCGAGAAGCTAGTTGCAAGGCCCGGAGGCGTTGCCCGGCGGGATTCCTCCAGTTGGTAGCGGTATCGTTATTGTTAAGCATTCGCTATTTTACAAGTAGAAAACAATTAAAGAAGGGGGCCGGCGCATAACGGGCGAGCAATCATAATTATACTCGTTACGAAGGCCTCATGCGCGCGCATAATTTTTAACCTCCGGACGCAGCGTGGGTCCAGAGATATTAAATTCCGCCCTGAAAGAATAAGCCACGGGGTAATTTACTGCTCAGGGAGTGCCGTCGGCTATCCCCGGCTTTTCTTCTGTTCTTTCCTTCTCTTTGGCCTCTCTCTCCTCTCCTCTCTCCGCTCCGGCCTGCTCTGCTCTGCTCTGCTCTGCTCTGCCCCGCACCAGGCCCCTTCATACTAATTCCTGCTCTCGAGCGAACAGTGTCATCGCTTTCATGCGGCGTTACACGATCCTCTCTCGCCCGCCCCCGCGACAACAATTGAACAACGGATTTCGTCCGCGGAAAAAGCTCACCGTGCAGAGGAGCACGCCGCTTCTCGCCTGCCGGAACGTTTTGAACACCTCCGTGCGATCCTTCTGCGTCATGCTGCCGTGAAGCTTGAAGAACTCGACGTCCACCAGAGGATCGGAGTCCTCGTCCTCGTCGTCGACCGGTTTGCCCAGCACCGACGACAGAATTTCCGTGTGATAATCGACCATGTCCTGCGTCGCCATGAACACCAGCATCTTGTGCTGGCCGTGGCTCTGCAAAACACACGCGGACATCCTTTATTCGACTACCGAAACTTCAAAAAAAAAAAAACCGTTCAGGGAGCATGTCTAGACAATTATTTCGAGAACTGTAATTTGTTGGAATTTTCTTCTCAAGAAATTGAAATGCATTTTGTTCAAACAACTATCTCTATATTCGACAAGTTCTAGTAATTTTTCTGTGGCGAAATCTTGAGAAATAAATTAGCAACAGTCTCTCTACCAAGAGACTACATATAATATTTAGGTATTTTTTTTATGAAACTGAACAGTCTCTTTCCTCGAACAACTGTCTCGTCTAAAAGCGTATATTATAATAATATAATAATATAATAATATTGAATAAACTGTAGCAATTTTGCTAGAAAAGAAAACTGCAAAAAGCTCCTTTTCTCAAGATTTTGCAACAACAACAAAATGACTACGCAACTTGCGCAGGATACGAACTTTTAAATGACATACTCCTCTCCGTGAGAGTCCATTTATTTTCTCCGGAGAATTTCCCACAGATCACGTTTCTTTCACAAAACGGTTGAAGGAAGCAACGTTGTTTACCTGGCACTTGCCGGCGATGTAGGCGCTTAGGGTGACCATCCTCAGCTTAGGCGGCGTGACAATGTAAGTTTGCGTCACGCTTTGAGGAACCACCAGATCCTCGTTGACCCCGCTGGTCGCGTCGCCGATCAGCTTCAAATTTTCCTGCGCGGCGTCCACGAACACTGGTTTAACCATCGTGAGGCCAGCTAATTTCTCCACGGCCTGTGTCAAGGTAGCCGAAAGCAGGATCGTCTGCCTCCTAGATTGATTATCAACAACCCCTTCGTCTTCATGGTCGTCGTCGTCATCGTTATTTGGTAAAATCTTTTCCTGAGCGAATTTTTTCACTTTAATAAACGGTTCGTCGTCATTGGAATCGTCTTCGCTGCTGGAATGATATTTTTGTCTTTGATTAACAGGTTCGTTAGCGTCGTATTCAGCTTCAGATTCATCTTCTATCTCTCGCGAGGTGTCTAACTTCCGGTCCATGTCCTCGACCTCGTCCTCCGTGAACACTTTCTTCGTATTCTGTCGGAGCATCTTCATCGCGTCGTAATCCGTGTTCTCGTTCGGTGTGGACACCTTTAGAGCACTTACTATTCTGGAAGAATTGGTAATTTCACCCTCTGCGACCCTATTCTCTCAAATTTGAATGAAATGCGTGGTTAAATAATTATAGAACGACGATCGAAAAATCTTTCGACGCGAAAATATAGGGGATTATAAAAATCAGGTTTAAAAAGTGTCAATGAAAATTTGATGATTGAAAGGATTCAGGATTAAGTGATCGTGTGACGCTAATTTCGGAGAGCACGTACCCCGATATATCTTTCTCGTAGCCCATGTCGAACATTCGATCGGCCTCGTCCAAAACGAAATACTTGACATTCCCCAGCTTCAAGGCAGCGGTTCTTTGAATATGGTCTAACAATCTGCCAGGTGTGCCTACCAAGATATTGCATCCCCTTCTCAGCCTAGCTTTCTCTGCTTTCCTCTTTTCACCCCCTGCCAAATATCCTGGCACGATCCACGTGAATGGCTAAAATTGTAGGAAAAATTATTGAACTGTCATTCCGCATCCCTGATGCGTCAAACACTGCATTAGACTCACTTTGATTAATTTCAAGAAGCACTCGTATGTTTGTAGAGCCAATTCCCTAGTTGGCACAACTATGAGAGCTTTCATGCCACTGCTTCTACTTAATTTGGGCCTGGCCTTCTGCAAGAATTCTACTATAGGTAGAGCATAGGCTAGGGTCTTCCCAGACCCTGTTTGCGACCTGACTAAAATGTCTTTGCCGGAGAGTATTCGAGGAATTGTTTTCTGCTGTACTATAGTCATCTCTGTGATGTCCATATTTTGCTTCAAGTTAGAAATTGTGAAGGGATGGATATTTAAGTCTTCGAAAGTTGTTCCCGTGAAGACCGGCTCATTTATTGGCTTCACGAGCCTTTGACCGATATTTGGTATCTCTGGATTGTGACCGAAGAGGGAAGACACTTTCCCGATGGTCTTATGAAAAGCATTTGCACCTTTCTCATCGGCGTTTTTCTTTTTCTTCTTCTTCTCTTTGCCTTTCTTTTTAACGCCTATTTCTTCTGTTGTGGACAAAGACTTTTGGGATTCCTCTAATTTAGACTTTTTCTTTGGAACCACATCTTCATTTGTATCCACCTTTTGCGACGATCTCAAGAAAATAACTTCAGCATTTTTAGATTCATCTTGCTTAGAAAATATGCTAGAGAGAGACTTCTTTGTTTCTGTGTCTCTAACGGGCCTTTTCCTTGCTAATATCGTTTTACCAAAGTTTTCCTTTGTAACTTTAGTAAAGGATATAACGGGTGTTTCGTGCGCCTCGCTATCATTATTGGATGATGGCTTATTCGAGTCTTCATCTTTGCTATTCACACTTGAAGATGCTTTAATTACTTTCTGGTCAGGCTTTTTCTGTTCAACGCCTCCAGATGATATTTCAAACGTTACTTTCTTTTGAACTTTATTCCCTTTTACCAAAGTCTGTTTAGCAAAAGCGCTTCCTTTCAACTTTTTAGCAACAATGGTAGACAAGGACTTCTGTTTAAGACGCTTCTGAGAGACAGCAGGTATTGTACTCACAGATTTGGGTTGCACTTTACTTTTAACTATAGCTTTGCTGTTACGAGTCTTATTATTTCGTGCTTTCATTAATTTAAGAATAGACTCATCGTTGTTCTGGGTGCTCTGTGTAAAAAGAGTCAAGAATGATGGACTTTTGTAAATCTGTAAAACTGTTAAGAGTGCAGGAATACAACCCCACAAATTTTTGCAACACCGCGTACTTCACAAGAACCCGACTTAAGCATACTCGAGCCACAGTAGCACATGCACTACCGAGGTGGCTAATAATGAAAGAAGACAGATGAGAAGAAGAAAGACATTATACAGTGGTATTCGTACCACAATTTACTTTCAATAGATATCAAAATTAATGCAGACATAAATCAAAATGGAGTCAAAAGCCCGCCATAAGGAAAAGGGTCCTCTCGCATATTTTTGGAACAGAATGATTTCGTAAAAATCAACAGGAAAGCAATATCGAGCAAGCGTAACAATCGTAAATCCTAGATTATTCTTGCATGCACTTGTCTCATAGTTTTCATAGAAAAACATCCATACAAAGTATGTTCACCCATCGAAACGTCACTTACCATGTGCAGAGCAGGCTCCGCGGAGATGTTCAAAGAAATATCCATGTCTTGCACAGTCATCGTTCAGCCAATACTTCCCATGCTTCACAGCCACCTGTTTTCTCAATCGGAACACTGTTCCGGCACAGACTCGAACGAATCGATCGTAAATACCGAAAGAATCACGAGAACTAACCTACAAGCACATGTATTAATCGCGCGCTGGCACCGAACTGCCTCGACCGGTGGCGCGCATGCGCGGCCGGAAGCGCGCTGGTTTCGAGGCTAATATTGAAACTGCACGCGTTTGCCTTCCAATTAACAATTGCAAAAACGCGGTAAACGAGCAGTTTTTGCGAAGTTCGAAACGGAGCGCGTTTCCTCGCGCGCTTGGTAACCTCTCTCGGCGATTACCGAACGATTACCAAAGCATTATCGAGCAGCCGATAATCAAACGTGACGGGATTGAGCGCGCCGTTGCGCCGTCGATCACGATCGATCGGCGCAATCGTCCGTACGCCGCGGCGATGTCCTAACCGGGTTTTATCACTACACCGAATAATCGGCGCTGTTCGCCGAGCCGAGCCGGTGCTCGATCGTTGCGGCTTCGATCCGCCGCGTGTGTTTACCATGCGTGTTTACATTTTTTTCGGCCAAGTGAACCGTCCACGGAAATCCTGAGCAACCGGCACGCGTTCCGGCATTTTCTATCAGTGAGCCATCGTGTCCCGGTTAAAGCGCGGTTAACCATGACCAAACTCTGCTGTATGGGCTACTCGTTGGCGGCCAGGATGATCGGCACGTACACCATGGTGAGTGACGAACCGATCTCATATAATTGCCTAACCGTTAAACCGGTTACAAGACGCGTCCAACGATTTGATTATTCGACGAACATGTTTACTTCTGCTAAATAACGGCCGACGAGTTTGTTGGCCGTTCGGTGGGCCGATTCTGTCGCGTTTGTAAGAAAAGTCACAGACTAGTTTCGTTCGTATATTTGGCTCGATTTAACCTCGAATTTAACTTAGGTTTACGGAACAGCTGTTTCACGTTGCTTCGTGAAGATAACTAGCATACATGTATTTATTCAGATCTTCGGCGATTTTTATCATAAATTTGTTCCGCATAAATATGAATTAATAAATTCGTCGATCGTGTCGGAGTGCACGTATGCCACAGAAAGATTCCTGCAATTCCAATAATCGGCGACGTACGGTGGTGGTGGTAGGTTTCGCGTTAATAGCGAAACGATCGATCTTCTTTCGCGGAATCTCGTCGATCAACTCTTTAGAAATATCTCCACGAAATGATAATTAACCGTTTAGCTGCTGACGTAATTTTTCGGACGTATGCCAAAACTGCGGCACTAATTGCGCGTGTATGGGGAAAAATTATAAAACACTTTTGATACAATAAACTCGCTTGTATTGCTTTGCAACAATAAAAATTAAAAAATACGACTTATTCGCATAAATTTGTTTTAATTAATTTTGCGAATAAAATTGCTAACAAGCACAAATTCTAGTGATTCAGAGCAGCGTTATTACGATCTCCGCAGTCTTGGCATTAAAAAAAAAACAGGAGCGCTATCGCGCTCTTCGCATTTTTGGCACAACATAAGAAGAGCGCGATAGCGCTCCTCGGCAGTCAAACGGTTAAAAAATGAATTTCGTAGATTTTGATCGCTTATATCAGTGGTGTCAAACTCAAAAGTTAACTTGGGCCAAATAAACAATGCTTAACTCTAGGTGGGCCGCAAAAAAAGATCAATGTTCATAGAAACAAATATTTTTATTTTGACTAGTACATTGTAATAAACATATAATATATGTTATATAATATATATTATATATATATATAATATATAATATATAATATATATTATATATATATAATATATAATATATAATATATAATATATAATTTATAATATATAATATATAATATATAATATATAATATATAATACATATAATATATGTAAAGTTAAATTATTGTTTACGTCCTGACACTTGACATCTCTTCTCTGATACTATCTTTCCTATTTCGGGAGAAATCGCAAAAATGTTCATCTTGGGCCGCGAGTTTGACACCCCTGGCTTATATAAATGCAGAAAATTTCACGTTGAATTCCGTTGCGTAGTCACTGAGAATCATGAAAATTGCCTGTTTTTGGTAGATCAGGAGGCTATCGCGCTCTTCTTATGTCATGCCAAAAATGCGAAGAGCGCGATAGCGCTCCTCGACAGTCAAGCGGTTAATTAACGATTAATCGATAATGCAACGTTATTTATTATTCGTTCGAAAAGTAACTCCACGCCCCTCCGAGCGGCTCGAAACGATTCATCCGGAATCTTTCGTGTTACGATCATCGAAATTTTCAAGGCGTTGTTACGAGGCTCCGCGAGGCATCGTAGAGGACTTCCGATAGCGCAAATAGAAGGCGTTAATAGGTATCACGCGACCGCGTGATCACCTCAGTCGAACAGAGCGATGCGAACAGACCAATTATTGCCTTTCAGTCGATTTCGATCCTGATAATCAACGTGCTAATGAGCGACTACTTCTCGAGACCGACCGACGACAGTTTCTTCGACTCGGTGTCGGATTGGTCCCTGCTGGGCCTGAACTGGATGCAGATCCTGGGCAACCTGCGCGTGGAAAAGAAAGGTGAGAGCCACAAAAGCTACGTCTCCCCGGAGAAAGAAGTCCCCCTATGAACCGTGAAACGAAGTTTCGCGGCACGGTGAAAGGGGCCCGTCGCGCTCGCTAATTAGTAAATAAAAATTCCGTAGCGGAAACGGCGGTGGTGTTCCTGCTATTGTACGCGATATTATTGTTGCTGGCCAGCGCGTATCTCGCCTTGGGATCGATCTCGGTGAGTATGCGAGTTTACAGTTCGACGGAAACACGTTCGAAATCGTTTAACGTCGCCTCTCGAACGAAGAAACGTTTCGCATAATCGCGGGCGTAGCGTGTTGGACGAAGAGAGAACGACGGGGAATAGTAGATGGGTCGGGGTGAGGGGGAAGAGAGCGTCGTGTATCGAAAATGAATGAATCCGCGGGCTTCTTTATTCGCGGAACGTATTTTCGGCACGTAGCAACCTTGCTTAAACTCGCTAACGATCTCGCTAACTTCCGTGTACGTTCGCAGAGGAGACCGAAGTGCGCCGTGCCTTGGATGTATTTGCAAATGATTAGCATAATAGATCAGTCTGTGGCGCTGGCTATTCATCTGACGCACGGGTCGCAGTACGATGTTTACGATAAATCGGTATGGTACATTCCAGTGTCCAGCATCTATCTGAGTAAGTACATTTAGAATTGCCTGCAACACAGGTGCGCACAGGTGTGCACGGTAGGCGCACCGCGGGCGCGCGCGCGCGTCTCGGCCGCGATCGCGAGCCGATCGCGAGCCGATCGCGCTCTCCCGCGGTTCGCGATTTCGCAACCGAGAGCGTCGAATCGCGCACCAACGTGTTACATCGAGCGTGTTTCTCTCGTTCCGGCAGTGTTCAGCGCGTACATCTGGACGGTGGTGCAGGTGGCACGGAAGGACTGGTTGGACCAGGAAGAGCCGGACTCCGGCGACGACGTCGACTTCGTCGAGGCAACATCGTCGACGGACGCGAACAGCGAGCCGAAGACGCCGTCCTTCCTCTCGCAGAACTTCGCGATGTTCCACTCGCCTCGGCCGGATTCGATCCTGCCGAAATAACGATCCCGGAGGATCGGGGACAGGCTGCTATCGCGAAGTGCCTAATTGCTGGCGCAAACCGGCGGCCCGCGCGTGACACCCGCACGGTTTGGACGTTCGACGCGTTTATTTCGAGTCGCCACGAGGAACGGCCGATTAAACGGCGTCCCCGCGGGAAGACGCGAACCTTGAATTCGCGTAATAACCATTGATCACTTTCCCGGACTAATGGAACGTGCGCGGAGGGACGGCCGAACTACCCAGAAACGCGATGAATCTCGGCCGGCCCCGCTCCACGGGGAGAATGTATGTATAATAACGCGAGCGGGCTCGATAAATCAGCGCCGGGATGCGACTAATAGAGTGTATCAAATGCGACCGCGGCGGAGCGCGGCTGCATAGAAAACATGAGGGATGGCCGCGTTTTACGTCGAAATACTTTTAAACTTCCGGGAATTTGAATCGCGCGCAAAGCATATTCCCCGCCGCGCCGGCAGGAACGCCGTCTCCTGGATGGAGAGGTCGATTTGTCCGAGAATGGTCGGAACTTTTCGCGAAACTCCCGAGAATAATGATCGAGCGCGCACAATGGCCCCGATAGGAAAAGTCGCCACCGATTTATTTCGGCCGTTTGCCCCTCCCCCCGCGGGATCGTTCGCTTCCCGGCTATATCGGGGCTACGGGATCGCGAATGCGACTTCCGGTGCGACGCGGATTAGAATCGTTTTTTAGGCTATCGCGAAGCGTTTTGCAATTTTTCTAGCGAACGATTCGGAGCGCGACGTTTCTCGCACCAGAATCTCGGTGTATTTCTCTGTTTCCTCTGTTTTTGCTAAACGGCTGAACCGGAATACGGATGCGCGGCTCGAGGGACGGTCTTCCGGTTTCGGATAACGAAAGGCGCTAAGAGATCGTGTCCGAAAGTGGATCACGGTCCCGAGGTTCGAATTAGCGAACCGAAGATCGCGTTCTAAGGCGGACTATGATCTCGAGACCACGAAACATCGATACTAAATATCGTTGATTTCTGTATAACGTTTACCGCGGACCTGTGCAGGATCGTTAGAATACGTTATACGCAAAGTGTCTCGCCGTTTCCTTTATCTCTAACGGCGAAGATCGCCGCGAAAATTAGTGCCTCGTTAGGGAGTTCCTGGTTCAGGCATCTTCTGGAAGACGAGGTGGACAGAGAAATACACGAAGAGTCCTCGGGACTTGTGATATTTCACGTTCTTCCCGAAGAAAAAATTGCGCAAACGATCGAGCGCCCCGAAAATTAGTGCCTCGTTAGGGAGCTCCCAGTTCAAGCATCTTCTAAAAGACGAGGTGGTCAGAGAAATACGCAAAGAGTTCTCGGGACTTGTGATATTTCATGTTATTCCCGAAGAAAAAATTGCGGAAACGATCGAGCGCCCCGAGAATGGCACGCCAAGCAAATGGCGCGCCGTAGTCAAGACTTCGGAGAAAGATTTTAGTCGAATCGCGTAGCCAACCCTTTGCGATCGGCGACCACCGCCGACTGCACCGCTCGAAATTAACAATCGAAAGTTATAATGGGGAAACTGACGAACGAACGAAAAGGAATAAGACGATTTGCCATTTACTTTTGATTTGAACACTAAACCTACCGCGGTCGAAGTGACCGCTTTCTTATTTTGCAAAGTTTCGAAACCCTTTCGTGGAAAACGCTTGAATAAGTTACATTATTGGAGCAAGTTTTACAATGAAAACTTTACAAAATCGAAATAAATTCGGTCTTCTCACTTTTGCGAAGCGGTACACGCCAGTTAGTGTTACTGCTTGGTAGGTTCAGTGTTAAACGCACGCCGAGTAGAGTGGCCGATCGCAACGGGTCGATCCAGTACTATAAAAGAAATGATCGAATTGTAACGAACGCGGCAACTGGATCCCGATCGCGGTGTCGCGAGACGACACGTCGATCGTTCGCAGGAATTTCTAAGCGCGCGCGCGTCCCACGCGATGTAAATACATACACGTATATATATATACATATATTCGTAAGTGTGAACGATCGTCGGCGTGTAGCAGGCTCCAGACGACGCAACGTGTACAAATTTGACGCTGGCTGGAAAAAGTTCCGTAAGCTCTTCGCTGAACGATACGGCTGTGAACATGAAGGACAGACACGGAGGGGTTCTGCGACGTGGTTGGTTGGCGGTGCTTTTAAAAAGAACTGAGCGAGCCAATTTGTAGGCTGTCGCAAACTTTTAAAACACTAGTTGACAGCCGCCCCCGCCCCCCGGCCCCGTCGCCGCCCTCTCTAGACGGTCTCGTCCAACCATCCTGAAGGATTCCGAGCTCCGTGAGTCGAACGAATCCGTCTCTCTTCGTGGTGGTTGCACCGGTCGTCGACGGGGACGACGAGGACGACGAGGACGAGGACGACGGAAACTCACCCCACCGTGTCGCGGGAGCCGATGGATTGTAAAATAAAACTAACTTGGCTCTTTCGTGGCTCGAGCACGGAGTACCGGGCGAAATCTTATTCCCTCGGGTCTCTTTTATTTTCGCGTGCCCCTTTTTTTTCTCTCTCTTCGGGCGGCCGCAATCACGAAAAACCGGGGAACGGACCGGATACGAGACAGAGGAGAAGTTTCCCGCAGAAACTCGCCGCAAAATTCGCCGCAGCTTCGAGCCGGCTCCTGTAAGATTTTCTTTTTTTTTTAATTGTTCCGCGAATAAACGGAAAAGCCGTGTTGCGGTCTATACCGGGGATTTTTCCCCCGGCGAAGCTAAACTAGTTTCACGTGTATCAGCCGGCCGAGGAGAGCCGCGCACGCATGGCCCACATAAAACGCGGCTGAACCGTAATTAATCTTCCTGTATGACACCTCGGCTTGGTTACAGGGCAGAGCTTGCCGGGAGCCGGAACACAACATCCCACTTAAGCCGCGACGCCCGGGAAACAATTAATACGAAATTGATTAATAATTATTGCGTCCTAATTTCGGCGGCGCTGGCCCCTCTCGCTCGTGCCAGTCACGGACCCGTGAAAAAAGGAATTCCCTCGGCGGCGGCGGCGAGATCGTCGCGGGGAGATCGATGTGCCCCATCGGATCCGGAAAGATGGCGATCCGTCCGCCGACGGATCCCGCGATCTCGGAGAATCGCCGGAAAAATCGATGCGCCGACTCTTCTCTCGCGAGAAGACGTTTATTCGGCGAAAACGGATTCGCCGTTTACTCGTCCAGACAGACAGATTTTATTGATCTGCCGGCCGCGGGACAGAGAGGGGAACACACGGCGGAACTGAACGCCCCATAAAGCTAACCAATGCTAATACTTCGCGTCTCCGCAATGGCGTCTACTCGGGAACCTCCGGCCCCCGGCGAGAACGCGGAGCGCGCGGGGAACTCCGTCGGTCGCGACGCCGCTGCCATGGACCGGAATCGGCAATAAACGCGTAACCGAGCCTAATTCGTGATGTTGGCTCAGTCATTGTGGCCCATTGTGAATTCACTTCCCCTGTTGCCCGGGGGCCGGCGGCACAATGCCGGGGTTATCGCAGGAAACTGCCAGTAACGACTCTCTAAGAGGCGCATACTCTTCCGAATACGCTCGATTCGTTTATCCCCGATTCGTTGTCCGCCCGATCGCTCGATACTTTCCTACGCACCGTGCGAAGTCGGCTTCGATTGATTTCGACACCCTGTACACGATGATTCAACGGGTTGCTCCTCGTTCGGGTTGTTAACGTCCGTCGCGATACGGTAGATTTTCTCTAATTCGCGCTCAGATTGTGCACAATAGTGGACACAAAACTGCACAAAGGTGGAGAATTTTGGGAACAGCAGACACAATTGTTCGAACCATGCAGCTCGCTTTTTATAGCAATCGAATATCTTCTTTGCAAGTTGTCCAATTTTCGTGGACGATCTGAGCGCGAATTGGTGAGAATTTACTGTATTCTGGAATTATTTTTCACGAGAGCATAATGATGCAGGACAATTTGGAACGGGGCGAATCGATTGTACGATTCTTGAAGAATATCCGAGTATTTTTCTTTTCGCTGTTTCTCGCGAAACGGACGACGAAGGGTATTTTAACCCCTTGCCCGGTATACCATTCTTATCGCAGATGCGACGATTGCGACTTCTTTGATTCTAATAATCTCTCAGAAGGAAAAGAAAATTTACATTTACATTTACGAAATTTACCACCGCGAGTCGGATTTGTTGAAGCTTGATTCGAAGATTTGATTCGAGCCACCCCTCTCGCGGTAACAAAGACTATATTCGAATGTTCCTGGTCCGTCATTTCCTAGAAAAAAAAGGGTAAATCGCGTCTCCGTGGAGTAATTACGAAATACAGTGAATTCTCCCTAATGTTCCTTCAACTCTTAAGCAAAACTGGACAATTTTTATAACCGATAATTCGAGCCTCGCGCCTCGTTTTCATAATCGTCGACAATCGCCAACCATAAAAATGAGAAACGTGGCTCGGACAATCGTATCTCCTCGTCCCAAATTGTCCATTTTCGCGCGAATTAGGGAGAAATCGCTGTGCCGGCCCACTTATCTCCCAGCTTCCGGCTACACGGATACGATCTTTGCCGCCCCGTCGCGCGAATAAAAATCCGAAACACGGGCCCGAGGGCCGAGGGTCGGCAGCAAACAAGAAAAATCGCATTACTTTCGAATTTCTCCGGGATCGGGCACGTGCCTCCGGTTTTTTTTCTTCCCCGCGGAGAAAGAGGAAAGGACAACGGGGACATTCGCAGGAGAGATTCGGACGGACAACGGGCGCCGAAGGAAGTAAATTTGTGAACGGGGACAATGGCTGCGTTTAATACTACATTAAACACGCTGCGGGCCGATCGACCCGGTGACCACCGTGACAAAGTTTCCCGGACAATGCGAGCCCGGGTCTCTGTATTAGCCGTCCGAGGGACGGTGAACGTCCACGCACGTGCGTCGCATTTCCTCCGGCCTGTAAACACCCTTCTTTTCCGCGTAGACCGCGGCGCAGGTTTCAGTTTCGTCGGAAGAGAAAAGGAGAGGGAGAGAGAGAGATAAAGAGAGAGAAAGAGAAACACAGAGACAGAGTGAGAGAGAAAGAGAGAGTGAGAGAGAGAGATAAAGAGAGAGAAAGAGAAACACAGAGACAGAGCGAGAGAGTAAGAGAGAGTGAGAGAGAGATAAAGAGAGAGAAAGAGAAACACAGAGACAGAGTGAGAGAGTAAGAGAGAGTGAGAGAGAGAGATAAAGAGAGAGAAAGAGAAACACAGAGACAGAGCGTGTGAGTGAGAGAGAGAGAGAGAGAGAAGGAGAGAGAGAGAGATAAAGAGAGAGAAAGAGAAACACAGAGTCAGAGCGAGAGAATGAGTGAGAGAGAGAGTGAGAGAGAGAGAGAGAGAGAGAGAGAGAATACTGTTGAAATCAATTTGAAAAGTGCATGATTGATGCACGCGATCCGGGAGACGGGATTGGGAGCAGAGTTTCACTTCGGCGTCATTACCGGGGCCCGCCGCGCGATATTTCATGTCAAATTGTATCGCCGCGTTCAGCTAGATTAGGCCTATCGTTATGTATCAAAAGGAACGAGCGCAAACCGGCGCGGCGCTCCTTTCGATCGACTTCCGGCGTTTCGATCGCTCGAGGAAACGATCGAGCCTCGTTATCGTGCGGCGTAATTGATGCAATCGGTAATTGCCGGCGATCGACGCACCGCTGCCGAAACCAATAAGCTTCTGTAACAATGCCGGTACTAAATGTTAACTCGATTAACTCTGTTCAAATGTTTCTCGAACTAAAAGATACCAAAAAAGATACTCTCGAACATGTTTTCATCCTGACCTTGTTGCGAATTTCGATCCGACTTCTAGCGCAAAATCGTCGCTCTATTTGCGCCCTCCGAACTGCTCCGATGCGACTCTTAGACTGTCAGCTGGTCCAGAAGATTCTTGGCAACACCTCTATTCTATTAGGTCGAGTTATAAACAACCTCCGTTCCTGTTGTATGTATTGCAATGTTTTATCAGACATTTATTTCGTTTTTCCTTTTTATTTTATTATTTCATTTTTTATTGTCTTTGTTACTTTTTCTTATTTTATTCATTCCGAACAAGGGTCCGAAAGGATAATAAAGGAGGATCTGTTTAAGGATCTCTCTCTAAACAAGAAGGATCTATTTAGCGAAAGGAAAAACTCGTTTGTCCCGGTGACTCATAGCGAGTAGATCCGAACAATAGATTCTACGTAGCCGCGTCGGACGTTATTTACGACTCGATTTAATGTTTCTTCGTCTCACGGACGCGAGAGACAGGTTTGCCTTCCGAGACGACTTAACGTTAAAAATATCGCCGTAACGACGTCGATGGAATCGAGGAGCAGCCGATGAAAGAGCAGAATTAAACGCAGAGTTAAACGAAGCCTAGTGAAAACGGAGCTGGGTATCACAACGCAGGTGTCTTTAGGGTGTAATGATTGAGCCTCGAGAGAAAAAGCAGTACAAAATATGTACTGTACGCTATATATATATATATATATGTATATACAGTAATGTCTCCCTTACTGACGCTCAGATTGTCCACTAAAATTGTCCACTTAAGTGAAACCATTGCTGTC